GCGGATTTTGGGGGAGGATGCGATCACCTGGTGGGACTCTATCTCCATGCAAACTTGCCCAATACGGATGTAAAACGTGTCATTCTTCCCGGCTCGGGGACCACACAAAAGATGAAAGACTCATTAGAGGCACCAAAATTTAGATTTGGCTGGTTCAAACACACAGTGACCAGGATGCATTTCCCCTAACTCCCCTTCGATTTTCCCCCCGCTCCGACCACTGAAACAAACCATGAAGTAAAACAGCCACTAAAGTCACGAAGTGCCAGGTCTCAAGGTGTCACAGAGATTTGGCGTGGGGCTTTGCTGTGAGGCATTCTGTGTGGGACAGGGCTCAGGCCCCAAAGGTGGGGAACACAGGGGGGCTTGGCGATGCTCTTGTACATCTGTATACAACTTAAAGGGCGAGGAAATCTGTGGAAGCAGCACGTGGAAGCTGGGAGGGGGGAATTTCCTTTCCCTCCCCATTTCCATGCTCCCTGCTCCAGGGGCACCAGCTCGGGGAGCCAGGGATGCTGCCTGCGTCCTGCACACGTCAGCTGTACAACCCGCAATAGTGTTGGGTGCTGGTGCAAAGTCCACTCAAACACGCAAAAAGGCTGATTTATTTTTATATATATTTTTAAACCGTGAGTGTGATTAAGCGGCCAAACAATTTGGCGAGTGTTGTGGCAGAGCTGCCAGCATAAGGACAGCTGTTCTTCCAAGGGGCATGTGCGCGCGCTTGCTTTGGTTCAACAGAAATTAATCTGGGGAGCCTGAGGGTCTGGGAAAAAAAATCCTTGCTCCTCCTGGTACCTTTTGCCAAGTCACCGTGGGAAAAGAAAACCCAAACTCCTCCACTTTGCATTGCCACAGAGATTCCCAGTCCCTCCATGTGCCAGCCTGGGAGCAGCGACGGGTATGGGAGGTGCTGGTGCAGCCCTTGGACCATGGGGAACTGGGAGAAAGAGGGGGCCATGTCACCCCCCACCTCTGGTCCTGCGTGGAGAAACCAGCTCTTTCTTAGCGGCTTCTACATCAAACCCCAGATTTTTGGTCTATTTTACGGTCTAAATTAATGCCACTGGATATCGCATCCTGCTAGTGGCTTCCATGATGCACCTCCGGTCCCAGTTCTGCTTGTGCCACTCATGGGGGAGATCTCCAAAGGGATTTGATGTCCACGTGGGCTGATTTGAGTTGTCTGCCGTGCGTGCTTGCCTTTGCACACCTGAGGAGCCCTGCCGCTTTGCAGAGATCCTTTATAATGAGTATTATTCATATTTGCAGCATGCTTCTAACAGCTACTAATCATTTTATTACTCTTTATAATCTATTTAAAGCACAATTAGAAAAAAATCTATACAAAGTTACAGCCGAAAGCACATTTTATTTACGTTATAAATCCTTGAAAAACAACCATCTATCATGAAAACCAGCACTCCTTCGCTCGGCTGACAGAAATGGATGCTGCTGCGCTACACCAAGGGACGACAAGGTAAGGGAGGGCTGGATGGCAGACCTCGGTCGGCTCCTGTCAGCCCTTCAAAGCACGACTCCTTCAGGCTCCAGCAGCAGATAATCGTGCAAAGGCTTGGGCACAGGCAGCAAGGGGATAAGGCAATGGCATTTGCTGCCGAACTTTTTCCGAATGGCAGAGCGGCATAAATGTTGCAGGCACCGGACTGTTCCTGCCAGCCGGAAAAGGGACTCGTAGAATAGCTGGTGCTGCTGCAAAGAGATTGTGGGGGGGGGAGAAACATGAGCATTGGTTGGTTTTATTTTTTTTCTGATTAAGCTGAACAAGCCAGAGATACTTTTGAGATGAAGATCTAAGGGGAGGAGGTAAGAAACCCATCGGTGATGTTTGCCTGTGTGTTAGGGGTCTGTGTGCTGACACGGCTCCTGCAAGCAAAGGCTGGATGAGGAATTCTGTGGAAGCACATGTGAAGAAACCCAGCCTCACTGCAGGTGCTGTTTGGGGAGGATGCTTTCATGCCCACCGGCAGCAGCATCCCTGCAGAAAGCCTTAGAGCTGACATAGAAGAGCCCCGCTTGTTTCTAACATGGGGAAACAAAGCAGGATTGGTGTCTGCAGCCTCAGCTTTCCTTAGCTTGGAATAAAAATAATTTCTCCCATGCCCTAGAATGTGCTGAAGGGCTTTATTTGCATTACAGCGGCTGTCCCCCCTCGCAGCCAAGCTAACCAAAGACCTTTTGGGGCAAGGCAGCCATCCAAGATCATTCAAGGGCAGGCTGGCCGTACCTGTTGCACATCTGGGGACAAGCTTTTAAAATCAAAATTAGTGGCGTGGGCTCCTGCCGGGCAGTGGACTGGCTCCAGGGTCACTTCCAGGTGTTGTGATTGTATTTGCCATGGGCCAGGGGCAGGAATGGGGGGTTTGGTGTTGATGCAGCTAAAGGGATGCAAAGCTGCTGACGTGAATCAGGTGTGCAGTGGTGCTCTGAGGACTATGCCTTTATTTTTTCCCCACCCAAGTGAAGTTTGGGTGGGGAAAAAACTCTTGGTGGGTAAAAACTCCTCCTCGGGGCTCAGCCTTCCCTGCCAAACCGCCAGTGCTCTCTCACCTGAAACACCTCCTCCGGCACGGCGTCAGCCCACTTCTCAGATATGGGGATTTGTGAGTAGGAATTGAAGAGTACTTCGATGATCTCTGGCACGGCTGCGCAGGACTTCAGCACCTAGTCGTGGGCAATGCGAAGGGTTTCAGACAAAGATGCATGTCCCAGAGGGGCAGAGCATCCATGTGCTGCAGCCGGGGCTTGTCCCACCCTGCTGCAGTCCAGGCTGGGATAGTGCTGTGTCGGTATGAGGCGGGCATAGGGTTTGTCCTGGCACGCTTTGAAGACCTTTCTCCATCTGTGAAGCGGTGGGAAGACCTGCCTTGCTGTGGCACTTCTTCTGGATGCAGCCCCTGCTTCTTATTTACATTTTTGGCTTGTGTGTGATAAGCCAGGATAATATTTTCTTTATTGTTTGATGTAAAATCAATGAAACGCAGAGCCATAAGGCAGCTGCACTGATGGCTGATGTACCAAGCCTGTCTCTGACATACCCACGCAGGAAAAAATCCTCCTTGCCAGTCTCCCCTGCCCATGCTGGCTCCATCCTGCCCTTCACCCTGCCTGCTTTTCCCTGCTGCCACCCCGCATGGGTGTTTTCATTTCTATCATTCCCAGGAGCATCGCCAGTCCCGATGCCATAGTCCCCTCTTCCTGCCTGGACTGGGAGGGTCTCCCAAATTCTCCCAGCCTCCCACCTTTTTATTTCCCAAAGCACCCCGACTCCAACTGCAAAATCCCAGGTGCAAGGGGACGTGCAGGGGCCGTTTTGGGGTCGGTACCTTGATGAAGGCAGGGGGCCATATCTTTTGGGAGCCGTGGTTGAGCAGCAGCTGGACGGTGAGGTGGGGCCGCAGCTCCCGCTTGAAGGCAGCACTCTGCAGCGCGCAGCCCAGGGGGGAGATGCCATCATAGTCGATGGCGGTGACATCGC